TACGCTAGCTACCACTCCTCCGAAAATTATAGATGAGCATTGGTTGAAATTTCATGACGCCATAAAAATGGCGGGAACAGTCAGTTGTGGGTTCGCGAAACGTCCCGCTTTTAAGCACTGGGTTTCTTCTGGTTCCTTACAACTCATTGAAGCCCGTCGGTCTACTCCGGGTGACCGTGAGTTTGACCATAGACGAAGGGTGTTACATAAGGAAATTGGGCAAAGCTCGCGTAAGGACCGAGAAGCCTGGTGGTCGAAGCGTGCTAATGAGCTGGAAGCAGCAGCTGCATCTGGTAACTGCCGGAGGTTCTTTCAACCCATCCGAACCATTGGCAGCAAGGAGTCTGGTGTGAGCGAAACAATCTGCGAGGATGATGGGATGCCAATCACTAACATCCATCGACGTCTTGAACGATGTGCAGAATTTTTCGAAGGACAGTTCAACTGGCCTGCTGCTCCGGCAACATCGGTCAGACTGTCCTGCCCCCCATGGCCGGTGACGACTGATCCACCAAACGAGGAGGAAGTCCGCAAGGAACTCCAACTCTTGAAGCGTTACAAATCACCTGGCCCAGAAGACTCACCTCCGGCTCGTTTTAAGCATGGTGGTGATTTTCTGATTAAGTAATTGACGACGTTGTTTACGAAGGTTTGGGAACTAGAGAGTGTACCAACGTCATGGAATGAGTCGATAGTTGTCCCTATCTTTATAAAGGGTTCACGTCGTTCCTGTAACAACTATCGGGGGATAAGTCTACCTCCGATTGCGTCCAAACTATTGGCTTCCGTCATACTTCGTAGGTTGTTCAACACCCGAGAAAGATTGACTCGCGAGGAGCAGGCTGGGTTTCGTTCTGGTCGAGGATGTATTGATCATATCTTCACCCTCCGCCAAATGTTAGAACATCGCCATACTTATCAAAGGCCAACAATCGTAGTGTTTCTTGACATCAGGGCTGCCTTTGATTCGTTGGACAGGACTGTTCTCTGGGACTGTCTATTGAAGAAGGGTGTCTGTGAAGTTTATTAACATCCTCAAAGCCCTATATACATACACGTTGAGCAGAGTGAGGGCATACAACCACCTCTCTCCATTGTTCTATTCGAGCAGTGGGGTTAGGCAGGGTTGCCCAATCTCACCATTCCTCTTCAACTTTGCCATCGATGACATTCTGTAAACAGCTCTGATGGATGTAAATAATAGTGATGTGGATCTGTTGCCTGGAGAAAGACTTCTCGACCTTGAGTATGCGGATGATATTGTCTTACTGTGTGATAATGCCCAAGGCATGCAATCCGCAGTTAATCAGTTGGCAATCAGTGCCCGTAGGTATGGTATGTGCTTTGCACCTTCGAAGTGCAAAGTACTTTTACAAGACTGGCAGGATTCCAATCCTGTACTCACCCTGGATGGTGAGCAGATAGACGTAGTCGAGAAGTTCGTGTATCTGGGTAGCTGCATAAGTGCTGGTGGTGGCGTGAGTGATGAGATCAATACACGTATAGTGAAAGCCAGAGCGGCTTATGCCAATCTGGGCCACCTTTGGCGCCTTCGTGATGTTAGTCTGGCTGTAAAAGGTGGGATCTACAACGCGTCGGTGAGAACAGTTTTGCTCTATGCTTGTGAAACCCGATCTCTCCGAGTTGAGGACGTCAGACGACTCTCTGTGTTCGACCATCGCTGTCTCCGAAGGATCGCTGACATCCAGTGGCAACACCAAGTCAGTAATGCAGAGGTTCGGCATCGTGTGTTCGGGCACAGAGATGATAACTCAATTGGTGTCACCATCTTGAAACACCGACTTCGGTGGCTTGGACATGTTCTACGAATGTCGTCCCAGAGAATTCCACGTCGTGCATTATTTGCCGACTTTGGGACTGGTTGGAAGAAGCGGAGAGGTGGTCAGTACATGACATGGTGTCGTGGTATAAAAGAAAGCTGCAAAGGACTGGCTTGTGTCGGTCCTTCACGACTCCCTGGTTGGGGTCCGAGAGATGGTGCTACACAGTGGCTAGAGACGTTATCAGATATGGCTCAGAATAGAAGCCAATGGCGATCCTGATGTAACCTTCTTTTACTTTCTTCATAAAAAGGGTTTGTGTCTCCCTTACCTGAAAGATTTCTTCTGATTGTACCTCGTTACTACCACACTACCTTACACCAATCTCTTCGTTATTGTTCCCTTTTACTTTACTCTTCGAATTCTCATTGTTTTGTGTGGCGCATATATAATGACGCTCTCTTGTACCAATATTTATGTGTTCAAATAAAATAATGAAAATAGGGCATATTATTTGCGTACAGATCGACTAAAGTAGTTTGCATGAATTCTCAGTCTGGCCTCAGACGATACTGACAATGGAGTCCACTTAGGAGGATGATTTTTCAACTTATGACGTCTTGCACAATCGTTTACTGTCCAACATATATCAGCATTTATTGCTGATCAGCAATATGTGAGCGTGTAACGACTTAGGTTGATTAGTTCAGAGTTGACCTCAAACAACTAAGTATATGTCAAAAAATTATAGCTCATATATTCACATATTCCCTTATTTCTTATTTGCATCATATTTTTTATAATCTTACTTTGAATGTTGAAGAACTTAGTTCGTCGTAAAATGAAGCCTACCACACATGTGGTTTTTCATTTGATTAATAATTACCTGGATCGAAAACACTTGTATTGTTCATACTTTATGCAGCTAACACGGTGATCCACTATGGCTTGTCAGAGCACTTTGGCATACTAGTCTGTCTTTTTATTGTTATGTTTCCTCATGTCTGAGCAAATTACAGTCAGCAATCATCGTATGGATGTAGGTTTCGTGATTGAAATTGGCTACCCCATAAACATTCGAACATATACCTTCCTGAATGCTAGACCACAAACTTAACCAATAGACCACACCCGTCTATGGTAGGTGGGACTGTAGTATTTCCTTACACTGATCAGTTATTCATGTACATGAGTAATATAACTAGCACACTTGTACGTGGCAGACCAACACGTTACCCAGTTGACATGAGGAGATGTAGCTTCGATATAATATGCTTACCTACATCTAGCCATCAAATGGTCACTGAAAAAAAACCTATTCGATCCTCATACTGTTTTTAATTTTCTTTTTCTCTTTGACTGTATATTCTAGTTGATGAGTACTCCTATGAACCCACAGCTACGAAACCGATTATAAAAGCTGGTCATCACAAACTCAAGTTTATATAAGCAGTCGAGTTTGGTGAGGAGTCCAACTTCCGGCAAATTGACACATTTACGCACATACATTTCGAAAGAGTAATTTTTTCCGTTCAAACCTTTTCGTACACAAGATGCTGACACCGTTTCTTCTTCCTTCTAGACTGTCAATCCATTCTGGATGCCAAACACTTAGGTGTGGTACCTTTTTGTGGTTCGTACAACCACTTTCTCTGCCCCGGCCATCAGTATAAGATTTCCCCCAAAAGAACTAGTTTTCTTACTTCTTCCAATTGTTTTTTTTCAACTTTTGTAACTTTGTTTCTAACGCTTTTGAACTTTATCACTTCTCAAAATTCATCTGTTGATTCTTACGTAACTACTATTCTGATGAAAAACTATGTGAAAAGAAATTTCTTCGCTCATTTCGTTTCTTCTTTATTTACCAAATGTCGAAATGGGAGTTTTCACTTGGTATTGTTTGGCTTGTATCTTCCCATTGAGGTTTAAGACTGCAATTGGTCAGTCTGTTATCGTCATATGTGCATACTGTGCGTATGCCTCGATATTGCCTTATTTCACAGGCTTTCGTAAGCAATGAAGGATAATGACTAGCGCATATGCGCATATGCCAATAACAGACTGATCAATCGCAGTCTTAAACCTCAATGGAAGATACAAGTCAAACAATACGAAGTTAATTTAAATTCACCCCATTGCACAAGCAAGTGGCTATCAGGACTCAGTAGCTGAGTGGATAACGCGATGGCGTTTTAAGCGAATGGTACTGGGTTCGAGCCCCAGAGTGAACATCAACTCTGAGATGCAGGTACATAAATCTGACGAGTCCGACATGGGACGAAACGCGCGTCCTGGATTGCCCTGCTAGCCACTATCCATCACTGCTTAGATAAAAAGTAAAGCTAATAATTTAGAGCTTCAAGATGACCTGGTGAAATAATCTGAATGGTCTAAAACATGGCAATCGCTGACAATGGTTTCTAAGTGCATTTTGGTGCATATCTGTTACAAAAGCACAGGTAGATACACAGAGAATAATAGTGAGCTATTTGTGATAATTAGCCTATACGCAAAGACTACTGAACACTGCCGTGTGATAGCTGCTTAAGGTTTTAGAACTCTATGGTCAATATGCAGGGACTATTACCATGCCAATGTTAGAAACTTTTTGGCTTAGTATACAGTAGTCGCCCCGTCCTAAACTGGAGCACTGTATACAAGTGGCTGGCTCTTGCCTGAAAAGAGACAGTGAGCTGTTGGAAAAGATTCGACGAACAGCAAGTGAGCTGATTCCCAGAATAGCAAAGCTACCGTATGATGTTCAACTGACCAAATTCAACCTATCTCCATTGTCATATAGAAGAACCAAACGTGATTTGTTCACCGTTTTTAGGTTACTTGTTGATGAATTTGCATCTGATATGCTCTTATTTTTCTTGTCTTCCAAAACAGAAAGTTCAAGAGGACACTGAAATTGTTCACAAGACCAGGACAAATTACCTATCAGTTGACTACCGCCTTTCTCATCGAATCATCAACGAACGTTATTCAAGCTCTATTTGTCGGTGCTTTCAAAAGAAAGTTGGATCAACTGAGAGACCACCATTATCTGAACTAACACAGGCCTCCTATCCTTTCGAAACTGAAACAATTTCCTGTTTATTCTTTCACTTTTGTTTGTTCTTCAGGCTGTTTTTACTTATGGAGCGTCGAATGTTTGTTGCTTCCAGACGCATAAGGGGAAAGCTTCCCTAATATCATTGAAAACAGTCTGAGTCATTTTGGAGTTTGAAGGTTGTTTGATTGACTTCAAGTGTTGAGCGGTTGGTAGAATGTGGTTGTTTGTTGGGAATGTATGTGGTGTTTCTTAGTTTGTGTGATCGCTCAGATATCGGATATCAGTAACTCAGCTGCTGGGTATGTATGAAATCATTTTTACAATAATTTGCACAAGTATTTTTCAATTTGCCATGATCGGAACATGAACTTAAGCACAAGATACATCCTAGCTCATTAGTAAAGTAGTTTTTCGAACTAGTTGGTATACCTGGTGTATCGTTTTTATTTTCGGAAATGCATCGATTTATCTCCAATTGAAGTGGGATCCAGCGGGTGATATAGTCAGGGTGGTTCCTTTCTTTGGCTGACTTGTAAGTGGGGCTGGTTTTGAACTTGTCTTAAGGTGCGTAAACGTCTTTACAGATTATTGTATTCGTCCTAAAGAAATCATTTTGAAAAGATTTGCTTGGTCAGAGTGACTCTTAAATTGTATCGTCAGTTACTATCCCTAATTAGTCGTTTATGAGAATCGGATTCACTGACAGTCATTAGGAAAATGTCACTGCGAAAGCTAGCTTCTATGGTTTCCTTTTCTTCAACATTATTTTCACTTAACCACCTCATCCTTTATGTTGCTGCAGTCTGGCTGTGTCTTCAGCAGCGGTTACCGAAAATCGGCTGGGTAGTAAGCAGTATTTTACCGTGTATTCGGCGTTAATTCCCACTCGACTAATTTAGGGCTAGCGATACCGGTGGTTAGCTGGAGAGGCTTTATGGAAGCTTTCAAATATATAATTCAATTGTTCTAGGTATCGTGCTAGCCACCAACCAATTGCTCTAGAGATGCTCACGTCAATGTCATTAAATGATCTAATACCCATCACTTGTGCCCAGTAAATGCGTAACAACATAGGTTACTACAAGTTTCGTTGAAAAGTCGATTCTTAATCACAATCTAGAAGCTTTTTCATTTGTCAGGCAAGGTGAAGTAACTTCAGTATAATTCGCCACAATGACTCAGTATCTCAGATTGAATGAATACATTAATAAAATATGACCACAACATAGTAAGAAGAATTTGTCGGAAAATGATGCTTTTTATTGCTAATTTTAAGCGTCGTTTGATCCGTATAATTTACCACCGAACACATTTTATTGTTTTGTCAAGCAACTCTCTGTAAAAAACCGATTGTTTCTATCTTAAAATCTAACACACTAAGCACGCACTAAATTTTTAACTGCACTTACAGTATCAATTGAACTTGATTAGGCTGAATAGCTGAATACTCCAATGTCTTACTAATGACTAAAAGCTGTTAGCTGTTATCAGCTGTTTTTAACGTCTGGAGTGTATACTGCAATATTAAGTCCTGCAGTCTAGTGAATATAGTTCTAAACGTGATAGATCTAGATTCAGCATCACAGAATTTCGAGAAATAACTATTTAATGGTGATCATTAGAGGTATTTCGATCGGTATATTTTTCTTCATTGATATGATTGTTGTTTAAGTAATACTAGAATACAGCAAGCCAAAAAACAGGCATTCAAATCTAAAGTAAAGTGTGTTGTTAGGATCTTCATAGAATATGAAGCCCTAAAACTTTGATGCACTCCAAATTTGTCATAAGCATCCCACTTACAACAGTTTTTGGGTTCTTTGGCTGCTGCATAATACCCTAATGAAGCTGAGTTATTCTAACTACGTAGAAACCCTGGAATATAGAATCTTCTCAATAACCTGTGAAGTTGAAGTAGATAGACTAAGTTATAAGATGAAAAGGTAAGTCACTCGATTGGGACTTTGTGTCCCCTATGTTTCATTACTTTAGTTCGAACGAGGGGACTTGAATCTAACTAATTTATATGACGTTTTACACTGTATCTAAACCCTTTCCGGTAGGTACCAGGTTACACCAGTATCTCACAGTTCGGGATTTCCTGTAAAAGGAGAAGCGCGACGGAAGTCAAGACATATCAATGTCTCATCTAATGCATACGACTACTAATAAAAATCTGCTGCTCCTGAACACACATTTCTCATTTTATTTACGTTCTTGTACCTGTTTTATATGCATATAGAAGTTTTTTAGTGTAAGCGAAAAGTAGGACCTTGTTAAAATGCTTTGTGCTGGAAATTCAGTTGTGCACAGTACTAAGTATTGAACAAAGGGATTATTATTATTGTATAGAATATCGTAAATAACACCAACACGGTTATGTTCAAGCTCACTTGATACTTTAGTTTCTAGCGTCCAAGTGCGTATTCATTATTTTAACATCACAAGATGATTAATTCATTTTTTATTGATTTGGCTATGTTAATGTCAGTAGTATAGATGTCATGTGACTGTAGTGCGTGGAATTTATGTTAAATAAAGTAATTAGTATCTATAGTTTAATAAAACGAATCTTACTGAAAAAATAATATACATATTTGTGTATTGAGGATAGAAAACCTACAATCTGTGTTTGTCCTAATCTAGTAAGCTTCTGAGTGTCTGGTTTTCTTCTGGATTAGTGAGTTGAAGAGGTAGACACCACTTTTGGTAACAGGTTTCAAGAATCGATGACTCAATAGTCACCGTCTGTACTTTTCTCAAGATATCCAAGTCACCTTTTAATACAGCGGCTTTCAACCTAAACTGAGTTTTCAAGTTTGGATCTCACTAAGGTTGTATATACTGTAGTGAACATATTAGTATCTAACTTGGTAAACGTCCGTCTTAAAGCCCATAGGGTTTTGAACGCCTCAGTTGCTACCTCAAAGCAGTAGACCGTGGTCTTAATATCATGGCTCATTTTCATCTGAAGATCCAGATTATGGGCACTGACTTCCCCTGTGCTATATATATTTACATTTGTATCCGCAATGTGCATGTAAACATATTTAGCCATGTTGATAGGCACCAACCATTTTTTAGATCAGCTAATCATAACATCGAAGTCTAGCTGAAGTGCACATGCATATCCTCCCCCTATTACTTGACTCGATTATTACATCAGCGTATGGTAGCATAGGTGACTTAACCATATTTGGGAGTTCATTTACATACGGCATAAAAAGTAAAAGACCTAGGACAGAGCATTGCAGTACTCCACTAAGTACTGGTTTCCAGGAGGAGCATTTGAAATTCATTCTTTCTGTCTACGGCCTCGCAAGAAATCGTTGGTCTGCTTTGGGAGAGGTCCGGCAACTCTTGAATTTTCCAGCCTCAAGAGTAGTTTATATTTTTGACACCTTATCAAATGCTTTGCTGAAGTCTACATAGATAACATCCACTGATTTTCTATTATCTAGAGCCTTTGTTGATTGCTCTTGCTATAACGGGGCTTGTTATGCAAGATAATCTTTTCTTGAAACCATGTAGTTCGCTGTTTAACAAGTTGTTGGTTTCCACAGATGTCATTATAGTCTTTTTGATTATTCTTTTAACTACGACACTGATAAAGCTAACAGGTTTACAGTTTGGTGGAAGTTGTTTCGTCCCTGTTTTGTCCTTCTAGTTCGTAGGTAACTCACCTTAGCCAAGTGACATATTGATTATCGTAGTGAGTTATAGTATCACTATTGTTTTTCTCTAATAACAAAAGGCATTTCATATTATTAATTTTAGCAGGTCACAGAAAAGTAACAAAGATGCCTAGTGTGACTACAACAAGTACTGTCAGTTCATCAGGAGTTCGTTTAATGCGTAAAACTTCATGTACTGGTACCAACGATCAAGCTAATAATTCTTCGTTTCAACACAATCCTGACAGAAAATCACTAAGAGATCAACCAAATGTAGGGAAATATAAGTTAATTCGTACACTTGGTCGTGGTAATTTTGCAAAAGTCAAATTAGCACAACATGTTTCAACTGGACGTGAAGTGAGATTTCGAACATTATTGATTTTTACAGATTATGTTTTATGAAAATCACTTAGGAATTTTCTAATTCAATTTGTATACTAATTTGAATAGTTTTTCTCCAAAATTGATATTCGCCTGAATATAGCTCGTTGAAAATAAGTCAGTGTTAATCCACATAAGGTATTCAAGTATTCCATTCGATTTATATACAGACGAAATTGTCATTGAAATGCAAAGTAGAACAGTATCCTACCATGTTAACACACTTCACTCCATCGTATATGTAGTTGATCATAGACAAACAACTTCATCATGCAGAATTAGTTTCTGATTATCATTTCAAATTTCATTACCAGTTTGATTTGAACTATTTATCAAATTACTGTATAGATTGAAGACTTCCGAAATTTGTATAGTAATCATTGTTTATGCTTAACCAGTTATTTATTTATTTTTCTCTTAAGAAACTAAAAACCTCCCCCATTATATTATTGCAGGTTGCTGTGAAAGTGATCGATAAAACTCAGCTTAATCAGGCCAGTTTAAAAAAAGTAAGTTAATTAATTAGTGTAACACTAACATGCAATTCACTTACTGAGTACATATTTATTTATTTATTTTCAGCTTTAAGATACTCTAGATAGAAGGATGATGATTTTATCCGACTGGTCAAACTGAAGTTAAACTTGAATTTGTAACCTACTAATTGAAAGTTATTAATCTGTCATCTGTCCTATTGACTTCATTCAATCGATTAGTCATAATCACATGGAACCTGGTACATATGAGTATCAGTTCGATATACCACATTATATGAAGACAAAGATAAAGTTTTGAATGCCAATACCAGAGTAGTAGATGTAGTAAAATTATTGTTAGTAATAGAAAAGATTAGGTATAAATGTTATATTTTAAGAAAGAACAAATTTACGCAGTGAAGAGTGTAAGGTTATTTTAAAACTCAAGAGATGACTAATAGTAAAGATTCGTTATTGTTACTTGTTCTGAACCATTTCACCTGATATTTTCAACTATTCGTTATGATTATTACACACACACTAATCAAGTAGCCTATATCTGCTAATGTGGCCTAAGTCAATAGCTGTTATCCTATCTCATCAATTGTATTATGCGCTCGCGCGCGAGACTGATAGTCCCTCGGTTCGAATCTCGCGGGAAGGGGGTAGGACCGTGGAAGGGCACTGTTGAGGAGTTCCACACTAGGACGAAACGGCCATCCATTGCTTCCAGGTATTCCATGGTGGTCTAGTTTCAATCGACTGATGATTTCAACTATTGAAATATATTAAAATCCTTGAAGTAATTATAATCTCTATAGTAATTTTTAGTGGGAATGTTAGTTTTGCCTATTACGTTAATATACGTTTCACCATAGATAAGCCGGAGCTATGATGAAACTACTATCTTTCCTGCTCTAAGATACTGAAATACTATCAAGTAATAAATGGTATAGATCATTTCTATCTCTCGCTCTCTCCGTGTGTGTGTGTGTATATTGATTTCCTCCCAAATAAATTGTCTATCTTCCTTTTATTATTATTATTATTATCTTTTCTTATCGAATTCGTTTTACTCCTTAGTTGTATGGTTTGTACATAAGCACGAAAGTAAGTGGGAAGAGAGAGAGAGAGTGAATGATTAAGAGATGACAACTAAGGCCAATGGGCCAATATGTATATTACAGAATTCCACAAATAATTAAAACAATAGGCTGTCTGTCAAAAAATCAATAATAATAATAATAATAATAGAATACTAATGATAAAGTCAATTTGACACGTGTTGCTATCTCTCTCCCTTTTTCTATCTCTCTCATTCTCTCCTTACATTTCTGTCACTCACGAATATTCACACAGATATAGAGATAAAGAGAGAGAGAGAGAAAGAGAGGTAAAAATCAATTAAATTTAGTATCTTTTGATTGATTCTATTTTGTGTTTAACAATAACTATACTCTCTTTATCCATTGTATAATATAGAGTATTAATAGTATTATTATTGTTATTATTACTACCGGAAAAAATGTTTGACATTTGTTTCATATTACTTATATGGTTAAATAAAATGTCCATCGAGAAACCTGGAATCACTAGCTAGCTGTTTCGCCCTAGTATGGGACGCCTCAGCTGCAGTGCGCATCCACGATTCTGCCCCGCGAGATCCGGTCCCAGAACCTATGAGTCTCGCGCGCTTCTAAGTTGACTTTCAAACTCGAAAATGCTCTGATATGGCTGAGAGTAGGGCGAGCCAGCTCTTCTTCTTGAAATGCTCTCACATGGCAACATGCATACAATCACTGTCACGGAAGTCCTACTCATTGCCTTCTTGTGCCATTACTGTTGTTTACAAAATTGACACCATGGAAAGCGAATATTCGGCATTTGAACTGGGTTAGTGGATATGAAGGATCCACCTAGTTGAGTTGGAAAATCTTAATTCCAAACCAATGGTGCACATGGGCTGGCTCCAGTATCCTGAGAGAACAAATGTCGTATGAAGCAATCGTTATTCACTGGCTACCATGGGACTGTACCTCCTAACGTTGCCCCACTGCCTTGTGGATCTCACCTTTATGTCGAAGGCTTCGGATCTGGCCGCCTAAGAAGACTACCTGTTTCGGTTTGGACAGCCCTTACACAAATTGAAGGATTTATGTGGTGCATCCTTATACCAATGTTCATGTGTTGGAATAAAAAAATGAATAAATAGAGCAACCAGCAATTGTCTACTCATTCACTGGAGGTGCAAAAAAATTTCTTTGTAACTACTGAGATTTATACAAAAAAACTGGTGTATGTATAATCTTCATTGTCATTGTGTTTTGGATTTAATAAATCACAATTTAGTCTGTTTCTTTGTTTAAATGAATTTGAATATATTACTGATTGATTTTAGTTTGAAAACCATTGGAAATCTAAAAACATTGTACGGTTATCGGACCTTGTTTAAATCAATCTAGTTTGCGATATAAATGACGAATTAAACAATAAACAAGCTGATTTGATTAGGAATGTATTACTTTCAGATAGTGTACTTCATACAGATTAATCTTTTGAAACAATGAAGTAATGAATAAGTTTATATTCATTGAGTAAGGTAGCTGGTACATGTTATAAGTGCTTAACCATCCCTTATCTTTATGGCCATAGTTAATCGATGTAAGTGTAGGCTATCAAATGGACATGCTAACTGTATAAATCAGATGGATTATAGAACTGTGAACTCAATTTTCTAACCAATGAATCATGGGTTGCAGTTCTACTTTTATTCATCAGAGTTCTATTAATAATACATTGGTCTCATTTCCCGACCGTAGCTGCTACCTTGACGCGGTGGTCGAGCTTGCCTATCGTGATGACCCACCCGAGCTATATTGGCTGGAACATATGTTCCTGTAGGTTCTACCATGCCAGGCAGGTCGATTGGAGAACGGTAAGACTAAAAGCAGCAACTCAAGGTCTGAGGGCGAAGTCGTACTGCTGACTGTAGAGGGGTGTGACAGCATCTACAGCGATGCTGCCTTCTCACAAGGAGGGGTGAGGTTAGAAAAGGTCGACCCTAAAAATGTCACACCTCATCTTACCTCACGGATTTCCGTCTCCGGCGGTAAGGCCCTTTGAAGAACGGAGCTAACACATTAAAAACCTTCCACGAAAATGCCGTGCGCGACCGGCCTCAAGCAGTTGTCCCTTGGGCTCTGCGGTCACGCTCCCGGGCCGTTAAGACCAACACTAATCCAATATCCTTTTCAGGTTCCTCAAGAAATACCCTTCCACGGTGTGGGCAGCCGGGAAGTGACATCAGCCCTCATACCCGTAACAACACACGAGACCAAGTTGGTCACATTCAAATCCTTCCTACACCTCTTAATACCACTCTTATCTCCCGACTAACCCTTCTCACGTCCTTTTTTCACCTCGCACCGCTAGGGCAAACGATTCGAGTACGTGGAACTCTATTCCTGGTCTCCTGAAACCACGCTCTAAACTACACGGAGCTTTTAACATACGAACACTGTGCCAATTAGGAGAGCAGGCTTCCTTAGCTAGGACTTTAGAATCCCGCGCCATCGATGTGTTCTGCGTCTCCGAAACGCACATACAGGATCCGAGTAGCGTCATTCATTTGAGATCACCATGTCAAAACAAAGAACCAACTCGATTTACGCTTCGTGTATCTGGAAGCCCTGATGCTGCTTCTCGTGGCCTCACCGGCGTAGGTATAGCATTGAGTCCTAGGGCAGAACTAGCTCTCTTAGACATGATTCCAGTAGACAGTCGTTTGTGCGCTGTCCGACTAAACGAAACAGTAAGGATCCGGAAAGATAGGGATACTCGTCGTTGCCTCTTCGTCGTCTCTGCCTATTCTCCCACTGACTGCAACTCAGATGATGTAAAAGATGACTGCCTCGACGTGCGATGTTCAGTGGTATAGGAGTAGGTTGGAAGAAAGATAGGGGCGGCCAGACCAAAACATGGCACAAGTCCATGAAGTCACTGATAAGTGGACTGAGTCATATTGGTAGGTGTAGACTACCTGGTTGGGGACCGCGAGATGATAACAACCGATGGTTAGAGGCAGTCAGTCAGGTAACATATCTAACTCTTATATTTAATGTATCATCCAACAAGATACTGAGTACGGGAATCTGTATTTTAATCTACCAGGTTACATTGAATAATAATACTTTCATGGTCATCAAAAAATAATTATTTTTTGGATTATTCAACTTTCTTTTTATACTTTTTCCCATTCAATATCAGCTATTCCGAGAAGTGAATATTATGAAAATGTTAAATCATCCAAACATTGGTAAGATACAATTTTGTTTATGGTTATTATTATACAATAATCATATATGATCATTCAGTCACTCAGTGATTGTAACCATTAGTACATAATCTCATCATTGATTACTGATCCAATTTTATCGATTAAGTTATATAGCCATTAAGTTAAGTAACTTCACACATCGCTGTATACTTTATATTAGCTGGTAAGAGAGAGAGAGACGTTACTATTGATTTATACAGGTTAACACAGGTTCGAGCTGTCCATATTTTTGGATACTCCCTACTAATGAGTACCAATTACCAAGAAATCTAATATCAGAACATACTGTTTATTGCCTAAAATACTTTCATCTAACATTTGTATATCATTACACTTAAATTGTAGAAAATTCTAGTTTCAATTGTGTTGTTAGAATGAATTGATTTAACATGGAGTTGATAATATTTCGGTTCGATCGTATGAAGATTCATCGCTAAAACGACGACGACATGTCACTGATTAGTGGAGGTGTATAGGTTTGCTTTTAAACCATTCAATATTTAATCAATAGATTCCATATTCGAACCTCACTCGACATATTTTTGTTTGAACAACTAGCTAATATGAGTAAACCTCTCTTATCACAAACAGCTTGACTCAAAATCAAGTGCATTCAAAAGTTGTTAATATTATCGTTTTAAGTGATTTTGCTTGGAATTGATTAATTCAATTAGTGGTAGTAGTCATCAATAGAAATGCTATTGTAAAATGGAGTTGCCAGGGGAATTATTTGTTTTGAGTTTGTTGCTCAATTATTCCTATTCACAATAATAATCATGTCTAGTAAAAAGGTGATGATGAGAACACTTCAATGAACATATGTTATTTCTTCATGTTTCCATGATAGTAGTCTAGTTGATGATAAGGCGTTTAAAACCATAGTTATAATTGTGTATATTTGTGTTGTCTGATTGTGGATGTATTATTATTTGTCTAAAAAGAAAAGGTAGAAATGAGAAAGGCAATATAGGATCCACTGTTCTCTACTGATATAATGTCGTTTCTAACTGGTCTAACAATTACAGTTATTTTCTGTGTTTCTGTGTGAAATTTTCAGTCTAATTTATAATCTATACTTTTTATATTGTGAATTCATTTGTTCATTCTTTTTCTTTGTAACAATATAGATTTTTATGACCCCATTTTGGCAACTTTTACCACCCATAGTGTTGATGACATGTTCATATCGTTTGTTCATCAGCAGTATCGTCTGTTTTAATTTATAGACATAAAAATGAAATTTATAAATAACAGACACCAATAGGCCAGAAGGTTTTAACCGTAGATACCTTCGAAGGATTCCTCATGTATATGTGTGTGTGGTGGTGGTGGGCAACAAAAATGGATTAATGCGGTGGTTCAATATGATTTACTTAGGTAACGATAACAAGTGGTTTGATAGGGTGGGTGGATGTGTACTAATCTTCATTGATTGAGATAGCTGGAGTGAATTTTACACATAGACAATCATCATTTACACGAGTTGCGGGTAAAAAAACAACAGAGGTGGTAAACCAAAAAAAAAATAGCGTTACTCCATTATGTTATTGCCTATTGGAATGTGTTGAACAGAGAGAGAGGTACAGACTATCTTGATTGAATGAAACTCAATTAAATTCCTTCAATGATGATTGATTTGAATAATAATACTTTGAATTAATATAATTCTCTGTTTGTTTAATTGAATAAATTGAAGTATAGAATTTCATCGACTGTTTATAGGATACATGATTGTTTCGTTTGACATTTGACAAATTTAAGCACCGTTTAGAATGATGTTGTAATACGATTGTTTTTGAAAGTATTTGTATTGTAAGTTTTATTTCGTTGAATTTACTTCATCATCATACATGTGACTGAAAGGAATATGTATGTACATATGTAATCATAAGGGAAGGGGGATGCTGGTGCTTTTGGTGGTGATGGTGGTAGTGGTGATGAGGATCGATGATTTGTCAACTCAAACACAACTACTCACAATATGGAATTCATTTGAGTTACTAGTATATTTCTTTATGTATTAGTTGATTAGTGTAGATGTACACGTGTGATTTAGTGATTCCATGCACAGTATTTATACTTCATAAATATTGAACGTTCTCCTTGAAAGTGGATCTAACTGTTAATGAGTTCAACTGATATCCACTTAGTTACCATATTTTTGTCTTTAAAATCAACATTATTGTTGCTAACCTTATTTTCTGGTTATTCTTCTTCTTCTTCTTCTTATTGTCAACTAGTTCGCTTATATGAAGTGATCGAATCTGAGCGTCATGTATATCTAGTAATGGAATATGCAGAAAATGGTAAGTTCTTTGTCTTACTTTTGCATTTCTTATTGTTTGTTATAAACAAATAGCATTTCCTATGAAATTTATCAAATTTCACTGATGATGACATTTAGATAATTAAGCTCTGACATTAGATCCTTCTATTGAATGTCCGTCTTTTTGTTTTCGAGGTTTGTTCAGTTCATATTTCATAGCAAGATATACCTTTATTATATACTAAATTTAATGATTCTACATTTGTTGTACCAACCATATTCCTTTTTCATCATTATTATTATTATTGTTGTTGTTTAATCCTTATTATTTGAACACAAGCAGATACCGATTTGTGTGAGGGCTGGGATACTGCCCGGGTGCTCAAACTGAAACAGGTGGTTTTCTTAGGAGGCCACAACTGGGACCTTTGACCTAAAGGTCTGATCCACAAGGTAGTAGAGAAACGTCGGTAGGTGCAGTTCCATGGTAATCAGTGAACAACGATTGGTTCACACGCTATTTGTTCATTAAGGATCCTATAGCCGATGTGCACCATTAGTTGAGGATCAGGGTTTTATAGCACCTCTAGATGGACTCTGTGTGTCGTTTTCCATGATATTGTTTAATATTTAAGTCATGTGGCATATTTAATTTATTACTTATGCCTGTATCTTGGATACGTGGATAAGGTGTTTTTTTCTCAGTATTCCCAGAAATGTTTGTCTATGTTATCAGTATCATATGTATTAATTCACTACCTATAATATTCTGATAGATTTACAGCTTTAGATTTCCTCAAGGTCTAATCAAAATTGATGGGCTTGTAGTTGAAATAATCTTGAGATGAGTTTGTAAAACACATTTAGGTAATTTATGACACGGTCTGAATGGTGTCAGTGGTGTATACACTCTCTATCTTCCCCTTAAAATCGCATCATATCTTTGTTTCCACGAACTAATTTTTGCTTTGTGTATTATATCCTGTGTATATCCGTATATAAACTCTTTCTTTCATATATTACATCATTGAGTTAAGTGCTTCTATGAATCCGGTGCTCATGTTGTTGTTGTGCTATGGAGGGAGATATGACGATTTGGACCGATGCATATATGTGCCTGGTCGTACTTTGTAACTGACTGAATTTATGACACTTATCATGTAGGCAATGTATAGATTTTCCTGTCAAAGAGAGAATCATTTGATCAACATTTTGAATTATATTTCTTCTAACGACTGATATTTCAACGGTATACGTAAATTAATGGTATTTTATTATCATGTTGTTCACCATCATCGGTTAGTTCTATGGATCGCGAACACTTTTTATCCCTGATTGTTTTTCATTTTAAAATATACACTTATAGGGGTTAATATTTTAATTATTTTATTAGCTCTCATTTACGTTGACTTCTTGTGTGTTGATATGATGGTGTGTATCATGACTTCTTAGGCTAATATATATTACTAAGAGATCTTCCCTAAATTGTGTTTTGATTCAATCAATGTAACTATTTCTACTGTACAGAATGTATGTCACTGGAAACTGTGGTCTGATGTATTTTGTCTTATTTATGAATATTTACTTTCCTTACTGTTAATCAATTTTCTTTTTAATGAATAATTCACCTTGACCTGATTCAGTGTAAAGAAAGAATCGATTATTATTATTATTATTATTATTATTATTATTATTATTATTATTATTATTATTATTACTGCACACTTTTACTAATCCATCTTGGCTTATTTCTATCTGTCTGATTATCTATTTTAAAAGCTGTCCTCCATCTACTCGTTTTCTTGCTTTCTATCTATCTATCTATCTATTTATCTATCTATCTATCACTTCCTCGTTAAAATGCACAAAGCTAAGATTAAATTGATGGATGATGATCTGGTTTTGAGTGTATGATGATTGGTTTGTATTACATTTGTGAATACGATTTTTCATCGGAAATATTAATTGATTACATGGTTATTATCATATCAACTTTGTTTCATGTAGGTGTTTTCTCATTATATCCTTTCGTTTTCTTTCATTTCACTCCTGTTTTAATACAATCGAATCAATGATGTTGTATATTTCCAAGCTGACTGGGATCGGTACTAGTTATAGATTTATACTTCTATTAGTCAGTGGTTTGGTAGTCATAATCTTCGACTTTCATTCAACAAATTAAGCTTTGATATCCCTTGTCTAGTTAATTCAGTTTGTATAACTGGTTGATATGTCAGTAGCCGTCGTGCTTAAGGTGTGGCCCTCAAGTTTCCTGGTACGGCCGAGGATGAGGAGAGTCCGCTCACCCTCTCGAAATGCTCTCACATGGCCACATGTATATAGTCTATGCTAGAGAAGTCCTACTCACTTCCTTCTCGCACCATGGGTGTTGTTTACGAAATCGCGAGGACGAAAAGCGAATGTCCGGCGCTGTAACCGGGTTTGTGGACATTGAGAGTCCACCTAGGGGAGTTGGAAAACCCCAATTCCAAAGCAATGTTGCACATGGTTTCCGTATCCTGAGAGAACAAATGTCGTATGTACCAATCGTTGGTCACCGGCTACCATGGCACTGCATCTCCTTACGATGCTCCATTGCCTTGTGGATCAGACTGCGAGTGTGGCCCCCTAAGTAAACCACTTATTCCGGTTTGGGCAGCCGGGCAATATCACAGCCCTCATCCAAGTAAAATGAGATTTGTGTGGCGCAAATGTAATTGGTACCTTCTTGTATCAATATCTATGTGTTCAAATAAAATAAATATAAAATAAAAAGTGGCTTGATCCTGCTATTTAACTGATCGTATTGTTATTTATATTTATTTATATACATAAATTTCCAATTTTTCCTCATCTGAAGTCAGTCAATCAGTAACAACGTATAACTTCGTGCGTACGTACATCAGTTCGAGTTGCCATATCACATTTGCACACAGATACAATTGTCGATTCAAATCCCATAGTGGTAGAGGTAGTAAGAGTATAAGCAGTTATCGGAAAGACTAGGGTTTGAAGATGTTATTCAAGGAGTATAATTCAGTGAAATCGATTTAGAAAAAAAAAGATAGGGACATGAAGAATTTAGAAAATAAGGATTTGGGAGAACACAAAGAGTGGATGCAGCTGCTCACACCATTTCAAACGATTTTGAGCCATGTCATTCAAGGTGTCTATCGTCTCGCAGATCCCAACAAAGTAGTCTACACCTACCAACATGATTCAGTCCACTTGTTGGTAGCGACTTCATGGATTTGTGCCATGTTTTGGTCTGACCGCCCCTAGCTTTCTTCCAACCTACTCCTACACCATAAAACATTGCACGTCGGGGCAGTAACTTACATCAACTTGCCCTTCAGGTCTACTGCAGATCGTGAGAAATTGTAGATAGTTTAATTGAACATTTATTAGTAAATTCATCTAATCAAACAAATTAGGAGTTTCTATGTCCAGTTTTAGAAGCGCGCGCTAATGGGTTGGTGTCTGACGAAATCTCAGCACGGATTCAATAAGCTCGTTTGGGTTTTTCCGATTTGCGTCACCTATGACGAAGGCGAGATATCCGTCTATCAATTAAGGGATGAGTATACTGCGCGTTAGTTTGTTCTGTTTTACTTCACGGCTGCGAAGCGTGGTCATTAAGAGTAGAAGATATTCGTAAGCTACTAGTATTTCACCACAGATGTCTCAGAAATATAGCTTGCATCTACTGAGATCACCGGGTAAGCAATAGTGAGGTTAGACGCAAGGTGTTAGGGAATGATGATGGTAAATCAGTTGATGAGGTTGTGAATCTTCATCGACTGAGATTGTTGGGCCATGGTGTTGCGTATATCTGAACACCGATTACCACGACGCGCAATCCTGACTGGTGTTAGAGATGGTTGGGAGAAAGTTAGAGGTGGCCAAACTAAAACGTGGCATCAGTGCTTGAAGTCACTAACTTGTAGTGTTAGCCATGTTGGTAGATGCAGAGTACTTGATTGTTGTCCGTGTGACAATGGTTGGAGACTGTGTGTGACATGGCTCAGCATCGATCACAATGGCGTAGGTGTATACGCACTTTGTCTTCCTTCAAACTGTGAGAATAAAATTGCCTTATATCTTTCTTTCTACGAACTAATTCCTTATTGCTATGCTATATCCTTATATGCAATCTTCCTTTTATACATTACCACCACTGAATTAACTACTTTTATGAATTTGATGTTCATCTTGTTTTGCTAATGCGGTATGACAACTTGGATCAATGCGCATATGTACCTGTTCCTACGTTGTAACTGACTGAATCACTTCGTATAAACCTCTACTAATCATTATGTTACCATTTTTCAAATACGTAAATATCTTGTTTCTATGGCTTCATTCTTTTTCTTATTTTCTATCGTTAACATCTTAGTGATGTTCATTTCGTCGTTTGTTTATTTTTTCATGACATGATATAATAGTGATTATGATCATAATGATAATGCTATTTTAGTTAACTTTCTTTTTCTTATTGTGTTTACCTTTAAATGGCATTCATTAAAAGAGAAGAGAAAACAAACTATCCCCTTGCTTGTGTATACAAACATTCATGTAACATTAAAAGTTCTCATTATTGTCAACCAATAGAATGTATGTTTACTATTTCGTCTTTCAATATTCCTCTCTATGTGTACTGTCATATCTATTTTTCATTTTCATTACCCTAATTATCTACATTCTTCTATAATCAATTAAGCGTTTATAACTTAGTCTCATGTTAATGATTACAATTTGATTAAGAGTCAATGTAATAAAATGAATAAATAATAAGACATAATGAATATGAATGAACTGCATTTGAATGTGTATACTTTATTTTATTGCCTTCATCTAATACCCTGGTACGACTAAGGATGTGGAGAGTTAATTAGCTCTCTGTTGAAAAATACTCTCACATAGCCAAATGCATACAATCATTGATAGGGAAGTCCTACTCACTCACTGTCTTCTCGCACCATGGGTGTTGTTTACGAAATTTGAAAGGATGAGAAATGAATGTTTGACACTTTAAATGAG